TTGAGGCCAGTCTGGGCTACACAGTGAGTTCAAGGCCAGCCTGAACTACATAGCAAGTCCCTGTCTGAAAAAAAAAGAAAAGAAAGAAAATCTAAGACTAGGGTAGCAATCCAGTTGTTAAAACCCTACGTGAACGTGGTGGGATTATAACCCTGCCTTCTTCTTGTGACATTGGCTGTTTGTCCTGGCTGCCTGCACCCAAGCCAGCTGGATAGATCAGAGAGTAGAAGGGACCAAAGGCACAGCGAGCCCCCACAGAGCTCCTCTGGCAGGCCTTGAAACACCTTTTTTTATTCCGGGGATCAAATTTGGGACTTTGCATCTTCAAGGCAGGCAGTGGCCACTGAGCTAAATCCCCAGCCTTGAAACGCCCTTTTTTAAGGAGACTGGTATCTAAATCTGAACCTCCAAGATAAGGGAGGAACTCTTTCCTTGCATTAAGTCCCTTTAGGTTGGATTTCATAATGAGAAGTACAGGGAATTTGCTTTTTCTTTTCTCCTCTTTATGGTTTTCAGGAGGTCTGACTACATCTGACCCACAGTAAGCACTGTGTTAGCTGCTGCTACCATTACTATTCAACTGCTTAATGAGCCTAGTAATTACAGGGACGGTTTATTACAGAAAAGAAGTGCAGCAGGCAGCTCCACAGACGGAGCAGCCTTGACCAGGGGGCACTTGGCTCTCATGAGGTCTCAAAGGAGCCATTCATCTGTGACTGGATTTTCTCATAAAGGGCTCTCTGGCTGGGTGAACTTTAGTCACTGTCCAGGTGTGAGTTTGAAACTTTAGGGTCACCTCTCCAGCAAACTTGTTGCCATCTTTGCTTATGCCAGTCTCATCCAGTTTGCCAGGCTGTCATGGTGCTGAACACCTGTAATCCCAGCACTCGGGAGGCTGAGGCAGGAGGATCGCTGTGAATTCGAGACCAGCCTGGGCTACATAGTGAGCTCCAGTTCAGTCTGTCTCAACTACGTACGAGACCCTGTCTCAAAAAAGACTGAATTCTGGAGCTTGGGTTAGTGCATTTTCAGTTCTCTGCGTGATAACTGCATCAGTTGGGTGTGGCAGATAACTAGAAATCTGGTGAAGTTTTGTTCTGGGTGTGGCTGTGATGATGTTTGGGGAGTTTGGCCTGGGGGTCTGAGGGGTCTAGGTGGGGAGGATTCTCCTCTGCCTGGGCAGGCCCTGTCTGCTCAGCTGGTCAGCAGAGAACAATGCAGGACAATGTAGGACAGCGGTCTCTCTGAGAGCTGCCTCAGACGACCGCAGAACCCCAGGCTTGCTAGCTTGTCAACTCCAGGACAAGACCAGTGAATTCTCAGGGCTCTGGGCTCTCAGGCTGGGACTGAGAATTACACTGTTGGCACAGCAGTCAATGCATAATGTTGATTTTGTGTATAGGCATTGTACATGTCTATGAAAGTGTGGAAGTGGGGTGTGGTGTGGTGTCCGTCTCCAATTCCAGCTACTTGGGAGCCTGAGGCAGGATGATTGCAGATTTGAGGTCAGCGTGTACAGTTTAGCCAGACTGTCTCAAAAGGGGTAGGACACAGAGCTCAATGCAAGGCTTTGGGTTCAATCCCCAGTGGGGAGTGGGGGTGAGAGAGAGAGAGTTCATTGTGTTTTTTTCAGATGACCAGCAGATGACTGCAGTCTATTGGTCAGCTTTCAGTTTTTCCATTGCTGGGACAAAATAACTGGCATAGATAATTTCTAAGAGGGATGGGTTTATTTTGGCTCACAGTTTTCACAGTGGGCTGGTTTGGAGGCAGAAATATCATGGAGGAAGATCATGGTGGAAGAAACTGCTAACCTCATGAAAGCCAGGAAACAGAATGAGCAAGGAAGACACCAGGGATCAGATAAGAGTCCCCCAGGTCACACCCCCATAACCCACCCAGACACAGCCACAGTGTGCTTGCTTTACTAATCTAGACATCTTTCAAGCCAGTGAAGTGAACAGTCAAGATTAAATGTCAGCTGTGTGCTTGCACACATCTATAATCCCAGCACTCTGGAGGCTAAAGCAGGAGGATTGCAAGTTCTGGCCCAATCTGAGAAATTTAATGGGATTTGGTCTAAAAATTTAAAAAATAAACCAGGTGTGGTGATACAAAGCTGTAATCCGAGCACATAGGTAGGAGGATTGCAGTGAATTGAGGCTAGCCTGAGATACATAGTGAGTTCAAATCACTTCTCAGTTTTTGGCTAAGATTGAGTGTAGCATAGTGAGTTCAAGACCAGCCTAGACTACATATTGAGACTCTGTCTCAAAAACACCAATAAAAAGCCTTGGGTCATGGGGCACACCTGTGAAAATCCCAGCACTCGGGAGGCTAAGGCAGGAGAATCACCACAAGTTCAAGGCTAGTTTGAACTGAACAGCAAGTAAAACAACCAAAACTACCAATAGATAAATAAATAAATTAGTGAATTAATAAATAAAATAAAAGGCTGATAAGATAGTTCAGTGTGAAGGTCCTGGGTTCAATCCTCAGTATTGTGGTCTCCTCCCAGAAACTAGCATAGCCAGCTATGGTACATGCCTATAATCCCAATACTAGGGACACTGAGGCAGGAGGATCTAGAGTCTGAGGCCAGCCTGGATTACATAATGAGACCCTATCTCCCAAAGAAGCCAGATATAGTGGCACAAGGCCTGTAATCCCAGCACTAGAGAGACTGAGGCAAGAGGGTCGCCAGGAGTTTGAGGACAGCCTGGACTGCATAGTGAGACCCTGTCTTAAAAAAAAAGAAAAATGACCTATCACATGTAGGATTTTTAAATTAAGTTTATTGATATTTTTAGGTACACAGTATAGTTACATTCATCATTGGGAACTTGTACCTTTACATGATGTACCTTGGTTCTTATTTTTTCCCCATTCCCCTGCCCTCCCTTCACCCCCTCCACCCTTCCCTGTTTACTGTCACATGTAGTTTTAAAATTATAAAGCTCTTTAGCTCTGTGCACATGATTAACCAACTATAGTGATACTCGTTTATACTTTTTTCCCCCCAGTACTGGGAATTGAACCCAGAACCTTCAGACTGGGCTATATCCCCCCACCCCCCACCCACACACACAAACACACACCATTTTTTGTGTTTTATTTTCTGAGACAGTATGGCTAAATTACCTAGGCTGGGCTCAAACTTTTTATCCTTCTGCCTCACTCTCTCAGAGGGTTGGGATGACAGAGTGTACCACCATGCCCAGTTTTGACTTATTCTTTAGGAAGTTTTGTTCATATCTGTTATACCCATATGATTGTCATTAGTACATGTGAATGTGCTTGTGCTTACAAAAATAGATGTTTACTGCCATTTCATTGTGTAGTCTATCACACAGCAGATGTTCAGTAAACATCAGCTGTCACTGCAGTGGTAGCAGTAGTAATAGTGATGGTAATGGTCATTGTAATTTCTCTTGAAGTCTATGCAGTCAGTCACCTGTTCATCCCTCCCACCTTCTGTGTTCCATCCAAACATAAGTGCATTGTTTGTAGAGTTAAAATCCTTTGTCTAAAGTAGTGCTGTCCAGTAGAACTTTCTTTTTTTGTTTTTCTTTTTGGTACTGGGGATCAAACTGAGGACCTTGTGCTAGTGAGGCAGCGGGTGGAAGCACTGAGCCAAATCTCCGTCCTCTAGAGCCTGTGCGCTTAATCTTACGTAGTTTCTTATTTTAAACTCCTGCTGCTAATTGTGTGTGGAATTCGGACCCTCAGGTTTTAGGGTGGGAATCTCTGGCAGAATATGGGGAGTGCCCTGTAATCAGACTACTTCTGCCTCAGCACCTGTGAAATTCACACCGAGCAGATTAAATAAAGACTACTTAGCTTTATCACTTCAGGTCACTTTTATTATCACCAGGTGATCTGGAGGTGAGAATTCTGAGCATGTGTGAATCTCAGGTAAGGAATTAAGGGTCTGTACTCTGTACACCCACCGTACCTCTCACGGAGGCCTTAATCAAATGGAGTGACTGATGGAGTAGGAAAAGAGAGTCATGTTGAATACCTGTCCCTTCCTTTCCCTACATTTCTTTGTTTCTTTCTCTCATTGTCCTCTCCTTTCTCTCTTGGCACTAAAGATTGAACCTAGGGCTTCCCACTGCTACCACCCAGCCCTTTTTACTCTGATAGGGGGTCTTCTGAGTTGCCCAGGTCGGGCTCGACTTGTTGTGCTCTGCCCTGGCATCCTGAGTAGGAGCTGAACATATCAGTAGTCAAACGTGGACTTAATATACCTCACTTGCTAAACAGAACAACATCATGGGGTGGGTGTTGGTTATTTAATGACCACCTGGCTGAGTGGGAGCAGAGGCTCGCTGCTGCTACCCAACACTTCAAGAAACTATTGTTAGAGTAGGGCCATGGCTCAGTAGGAGAGAGAGCTCTTGAGTAGTAGCAAGTGTGAATCCCTGGTTCAGTCCCTGGTACTGGGTTTAAAAGAGAGAGAGACAGAGAGAGGAGAGATCGAATTTGGGGTTATGGTTCCTCCTGAATGCGTACCACTTTAGCAACATTGTAAGGTTAAAAAGTTGTAAGTTGAACCATCCGTAAGTCAAATTGGAAAATTGGGGGCTGTATTTATTGGGTTTTGTTTGTTTTCGGGATTGGGGATTGAACTCAGGACCTTGCATCTGTGAGGCAGGCAAGGTGCCACTGAGCTGAACCCCTGCCCCTGGGGGTATGTTTAATAAGTCAGAGCAGGCCTGTGAGATAGTTACTCTATTCATTAATTTTAACTAAGCAAATGAAATATGAAAGAAGCCAAGTGACTTACCTCTCACTCAGCTTTCTCTGCATTAATTATAAAGGATGTATAAATCGGGGCGATTTTCTCTCAGACCTACAAACCGAGTTTTGTCAGACTTGGCTTTGTAGAGTGGTTCTCACCTTGCCATTCTCACAGGGAGAGGTGATCCGTGGCTGGCCTCACAGTGGGTCCTTGTGGGACCCTGAATTCTAATTGTGGTGTTACTGATTTCTCCTAGGCTCCTATCCTTCCCCCAAAGCTGGAGCAACTCTGGTTGTGTACAAGGACTTGTTAGTGCTCTTTGGTGGCTGGACGAGACCAAGCCCTTATCCTCTACACCAACCAGAGAGATTCTTTGATGAAATACACACTTACTCACCCTCTAAAAACTGGTAAGCCACAAAAAATAAGCTGCTTTAAATGTGGAAGGAAAGATTTTCGAACATTGGATTCTTTGTTCTTGTTGTTTGAAACAGGGTCTCGCTATGTAGTCCCGGCAGGCCTGGGCCTTGGACTTCACTGTCCTCCCACCTCAGCCCCACACTTGGCTTGAAAGCTCTCTCATTTGTGTCATGAATCCCTTGGAGAATTTGATGAAAAACTAAAAACCCCTTTTCTAGGGGTGGGAATATATTATACCCAGCTTTTGTCTGTGGTTTCAGAAAGTTTGCAGAACCCTCCTTCTGACTGTGAATTCAGAACTCTTTTTTCAGCCAGGCATGGTGGCCCATACCTATAATCCCAGCTCTCAGGAGGCTAATGCAGGAGGATCACAGCAAGTTTAAGGCCAGCCTGGGCTACGACACAGTGAGTTCCAGGCCAGCCCGAACTGCATAGCAAGACCCTCTCTCAAAAAAACAAAACAAAACCCCTTTTTTCAGAGAGAAAAACTAAAAAAGATAATTCAAGAAAAATGAGCCAGATGTGGTGGTGCACACCTGTAGTCCCAGCACCCTGGAGGCTGAGGGAGGAGGATCACTGCATGTTCGAGACCAGCCTGGGCAACATAGTGTATTCAAGGCCAGCCTGAGCTACGTAATGAGACCCTGTCTCAAAAAAGAAAAAGAAATATTCAAGAAAAATGAATGCACCAATTAAAGAAGAGAGAGCTCTTTGGCTTTGGCTGCTAATTCCCCAAGAGTGATACAGATCTAGCTGATACTTTGCTCTGGGCTATGTCCCCAAGACTACTGACTCTCAGCTCTTTTTCAGGCTTGTGTCTCCCACCACCACCAGGGATTGAACTCAGGACCTTGAGCTTTTGAGGCAGGTGCAGTGCCACTGAGCTAAACCCCCACCGTCTTTGACATGACAGCAAGCCTGTTCCTTGTAGTAAAATACTTAGTGCACGGTTCTTGGGAGCTGCTACTGATTAGGACCGCAGGGAGAAGTGGCAGGTGGCGCCCCTTCCACACACAAGGCTGTACCGCTCTGACCCTTGTATCGTCTTCTTCCCTCCCTTCCTGGACTCCATACTGAGAACTTGAAAGTTAATGAATATAACGCTAGATAGTTTGTAAGAAAGGTATATCTTGTGCCACCACCACCCTCCTTTTTGGTACTGGGAATTGAATCCAGCGCCTTCATACTAAGCTGTCCCCAGGCCATTTTTTGAGATGGAATCTCACTAAGTTGCCCAGGCTGGGCTCTAACTTGCAGTCCTCTTGCATGGGCTTCCCAGAGTCCTGGGATTACCGGCCGTGCGACCCCACACCGTGTTATCCTCCCTTTATTATCCTAATTATATCTTTACACAAGGTGATGTGATTGTCATTTGAAATGCAATTGTTTTTTGCGTTAAATCTGTGCAGTCAGAAGCCAACGGTGCTCACTTCTTGGTTTCCTCCTGTTTGCATTAGGTGGAATTGCATTGTAACGACCCACGGACCACCTCCCATGGCCGGCCACTCCTCCTGTGTGATAGATGATAAAATGATTGTCTTTGGCGGCTCTTTAGGATCCCGGCAAATGTGAGTATATTTGGCTTGCTCCATATTAACCTGAAGATAAATAACTTCTGGGAATAACAGGCCAGATGAATGAACCAGGGGCTGGGGCTCTAGCTCGGTGGAGAAGTGCTTACTCACACATGTAAGGACCTGGGTTCCAACCCCGGGACTGCAGAAAAAGAACAGAAAAGGAAAAAATGAACTAGTCAGGGCCAGTGTTCCTGAGTACAGTTCTGATGAATCCAATTAGTTACCTTGCCCTAGTACTCTGGCCTTTGGTCCCTTAATTGAACACTAGTTAAGTTGGGGAATTTGCTGCATAAAATCAAGGTCATGTTAAGTCATTCTGTTTGATGTTGCGTTGGGATCAAATTCTGATGAGCCTCACCTTGTCCGCTGTACCATGCCCTACGGAGGGCCACCTGCCAGAAGCAGGGTGCTGTTACTGAATTTATCACCCAGCTCCTTCGGGGCTGCAGTCAAGGAAAGCGGTGGACAGGACAAATGGGAGTTGTGGGCTGTGAGGATGGATGGACACAAGAAAACTGTATCGGGTGTGATGCACTTGCGTGAGGCTGATCTCCCCATTCCATCTCTCCACCTCAGCGTCACTGGTCACCTCGGGCCAGGGGCGAGAGCCGGACAGGCTGTCTAGGTCACTGTTGATCCAGTCCAGCCATAGCCGCAGCAGGAGTCATTCACCCTGTGCTCGGAAATGGGGGCTGATGGGCTGTCAGCAGTAACATTATTCAGACCCAACTCTTCGCTCTCTGTCAGAGTTTGCCCCATTTTCCTATTGTAAGTTATGGAGAGACTCAAGGAGCTACCCTCCAGTTAGGAAGGGTTTAACTTTGGAATCCCTGCATTCCTGCATGTGAAGAGAGGACCTCAGAGAAGTGACCATAAAGTAAAGGCTTCTGTCCAGGACTCTGTCCTCCTTGTGCTGGGCCCTTGAGAGTTGGAGTTGCCAGTCTGTCCTTGATCAAACTGCAGCTTTCATTAGCATTGCAAAGTTCCTTTTTGTAGCCAGGATCAATAAAGCTTTTAACTCCTGGACCATGATAACATAGGATACCAGTTGCCTTTTGAATCTCTTTTTTTTTTTCTTCCTTTTGGTTTTTATTTTTTATTTGTTTGTTTGTTTGGTTGGCTTTTGAGAGAGGGTCTTGGTATGTAGTTCAGGTTGACTCAAAGTCACAGTGGTCCTCCTGCCTCAGAGTCCTTAGTGCTGGGATTACAGGAATGTGCCACATGCTTGGCTTGGTCTTTAATTTTAAAAGACTGCATACACAGCACACACATGCAATTCCATCACTCTGGGAGGCTGAGGCAGGAGAATTGCAGGTTTGAGTCCAGCTAGGGCAACTTTGCAATTAGCTAGACCCTGTCTCAAAATTTAAAAGGCCAGGGGCTGGGGATTTAGCTCAGTGGCACTGTGCCTGCCTTGCAAGCGCAAGGTCCTGAGTTCAATTTCCCAGTACCCCCACCAAAAAAGAGTGTTTTAAAGGCCTGGGAATGTAGCTCAGTGTGTTGACCCTGGGTTCAGTCCTGAGTTCTCCCCCAACCCCAATACATACAGTTTGACCAATAGCTGTTTCTTGCTCTTCCCAAATAACTTGCACTTTAGATACTATCCTATGGCCACAGACATGATTCACACAAGGCCTTACGGTCAGTGGAAAGGGCAAAGGTTTGAAAGACTGTACATAAGTTCTGGGGGCAGTCGAAGAAGAAACATGGTTTTAAGTGCCATCTATGGGCATGGCCCTTGGCTGGACTTATTTATAAGTGTGACTTCATTTGTGTCAGCTCTTTGGAGTAGCAGTGCTTGTATTTGATAGGAAGATCATTCTAAAAATTAAGTTTCTTGTTCAGGCTTCAGAGCTAGGATTTCACCAGTGATCTTTCTGGTTGTGAAGCCCCTGAACTCTTAAGGAGCCCATCTCCCTGTGAGCATGGGAAAGCTGCAAATTGGCCAGCCGGGCACAGGCATATGGAGCTTCCTGACCTCTGCCGTGCTCCCTGGAAGATCCCAGCTTCTTCATCCTTCTGTCCTTGTTCCACAGGAGCAATGATGTCTGGGTCCTTGACCTCGAACAGTGGGCATGGTCCAAGCCGAACATCGCCGGCCCCAGTCCTCACCCTCGAGGCGGCCAATCTCAGGTGCTCAGGAGTTATAGTAACTGTTCAGCTAACACTGCAGCGTCTTTCAGTTAGAATGGGCGAGCGGGGAGGGAGGAGACGAGACGCCAGTAGTCACTAAGCCAGAGAGAATTTCTCGTTCTTTTTTTGCTGGTATTAATTTTCAGCTTCCAATGGTCATTTAATTATAGGAGCTTTATAGTATACCTATCCTCGAAGTGTTTACTGGGCCGTTTCATTTCTCAAGCAAACCCTGCATTTTATGCGGCTGACTCATGTTAGTATTTGACCAACAAAGAATGTGTCCACTTGGGAATCACCAATAATTTCTTCAAGGAATCGAAATTGATGTGGTTTGGGGGAGAATGAGAGCTTGTGATAACTAAAACACTCCATCTGGGAACCGAGTATGCCATTTTTATTTCTCACAGGCATTGGAAGTCACCTGCCTGTGTCACTGTAGGTTTACTTTAAATTTCTTCTCCTCCTCAGATTGTCATGGACAATGCGACTATCTTAATCCTTGGAGGTTGTGGCGGTCCCAATGCTGTGAGTATTGCTTGTGTGGCATTTCCATGCACGTGCTCCTAAGTACTCAAAACCTGTTTCTCGCTTACCATGGAAAAGTATACAAGACTCTTTCTAGGGCTTTTTCATTAGAGAATGCCTCGCCCACCCTGGCCATATAGCCTTTGTATTTTCTGCCCCCACCTTTGGGGGATTATGACATGCTGTTAATCAGAGACATTTGTCTCTTTGAATATTCTTATCTGTATTCTTGCTTTTCCTATTTCCTCCTTAAGCTTTAAGGTTTACTGCTATCCTTTTTTCCAAAGAGCAGGGGCAGTCAGATAGAAAAGCAGGTGGGTAACTGCCCAAGTCCACCTAGAATTTATTTAAGAATGCAGTTTCTGGGCCAGGAATTGAGCTCAGTGGTTCCACCACCTGCCTCGCAAGCGAAAGGTCCTGAGTTCGATCCCTGGTACCACCCCCAAAAAAAGAATGCAGTTTCTGCCAGGCGTAGTGGCATATCCCTGTAATCCCAGTACTCAAGAGGTTGAGGCAGGAGGATCACTGTAAGTACGAGGCCAGCCTGGGCTCCATAGTGAGTGCAAGGCCAGACTGCTCTGCATAGCAAGACCCTGTCTCAAAATACAGAAAAAATAAATTGCAATTTCAGACAGTTACGGATATGTTGTTACCTATTCTCTCCTCTGCACCTCACCGCACACGCACAAACACACAACCGTGGGTCAAAACAGTTACAGCTGATTCATGGATGATAAAATTCCATGTGCCAGGCCAGCCAGCAGTAGCATGTGTGTGCATGAAAGTGAGAGTGGATGCATGCACACCTGAGTGTGTAACTGAGGACGTGACTCCTCTCCGAGGGCTTCCTCACCTTCTAGACCAGACAGCCCTGCTTTAAAGCTACAGCTCTACGTGTGCGGTACGGTGTGCACTGCACCTGAGTCCCGTTGTCCGATCCTTTTCTTACAGCTTTTCAAGGACGCTTGGTTGTTGCACATGCACTCAGGTCCCTGGGCCTGGCAGCCACTCAAGGTAGAAAATGAAGATCATGGGGCTCCAGAGCTGTGGTGCCATCCAGCCTGCCGGGTAAGCAGGGAGCTGACAGGCCTGCATGAGGAGAGGTCCTCACCTGGAAACCAAATCAGTCTATCAGATTTCAGAGGAAATTTGTACAGAAATAGAAAATACTTTGGTGCCACAAAGAGGTGAACATTGAGTATAGCTACTTTGTCATTTCCTACATATATAGATGGGAAAAATTATATGTTCCTTGCTTATCCTTTAAGTCCCACCTTTAAACTCCTTTGTCCATGAGATTTTCCCCCGAGTTCCACAAAGGAAAACTGACGCTTTCCTCCATTGTACCCCAGTGACAACACATGTCACACAGAAGCAACAATCGATCCCATGTCTGTGTGTCCTTCTAGCCTAGAGAACAGACTGAATTCTTTTCATCTCCATATAATTCATCTCTATATCTCGGGTCTACAACATGCCTGGCATATTAGCCAGGCGCAGATTTGGTGCATGCTTGTAATCTCAGCTGCTTGGGAGGTTGAGGCAGGAGGATTATAAGTTTGAGGTCAGCCTGGGCAGCATAGCAAGAATCTGTCTCAAAATAAGTGTAAGCACAAGGTCCCAAGTTTGATCCCTGGTACCAAAAATAAAGCAATGTGATAAGTGTAGAGCCAGGGATGCAGCTCAGTAGAGCTATGCCTGCCTCGCACGTGCAAGGTCCTAAGTTCGATCCCTGGTACCAAAAAAAAGTGCAGCCAGACATGGTGGCTTGTGCCTGTAATCCCAGAACTCTGGAGGCTGAGGCTGAAGAATCACTGTGAGTTTGAGGGCAGCCTGGGCTACATAGTGAGTTTGCATAGTGAGGCCCCCAGACCCTCCAAAAAAAGAAAGTGCTGGAAATGTAGCTCAGGTGGCAGATCTCTTGTCTAGTATTCACTAAACCCCAGGTGTAATCCCTAGTACCACACACAAAAAAAACAGACAGTGCCTGGCACGTGGGACTGCGTATGCTTAAATACTTGATGTTGAAGGATCCACACTGTAGGAGCGGCTGTGAGCAGGTCCTTTGTCTTCCAGGTGGGACAGTGTGTGGTGGTCTTCAGCCAGGCTCCCAGTGGGAGAGCCCCCCTCAGCCCCAGCCTGAACTCTCGCCCGTCACCCATCAGTGCCACTCCTCCGTCCCTGGTTCCTGAAACCCGAGAGTACCGCTCGCAGTCTCCAGTAAGGAGCGTGGATGAAGCTCCTTGTGTTAATGGCCGCTGGGGAACACTGAGGCCCAGGGCTCAGAGGCAGACTCCCTCGGGCTCCCGGGAAGGGAGCCTCTCCCCAGCCAGAGGAGATGGCTCTCCTGTCCTCAACGGTGGGAGTTTATCTCCAGGTACAGCAGCTGTCGGTGGCTCCTCCCTCGACAGTCCTGTGCAGGCCCTGTCTCCAAGCACTCCGTCTGCCACTGAAGGGTACGACCTAAAAATGGGACTTTCTTTAGCCCCCCGACGGGGGTCACTACCGGATCAGAAAGATCTGAGACTAGGGTCCATAGATCTGAGTTGGGACCTGAAACCCTCTTCCAGTAGCAATCATATGGATGGTGTGGACAACAGGACAGTTGCGGGGAGTGCGAGACACCCTCCAGAACAGACCAATGGTGTGCATACCCCTCCACTTGTGGCCGGTGCCCTTGCAGGGGCTGTCTCACCTGGTGCCCTGCGTCGGAGTCTGGAGGCCATCAAAACTATGTCATCCAAAGGCCCCTCAGCCTCTGTAGCGCTAAGTCCTCCTCTTGGGTCTTCTCCAGGCTCCCCTGGGAGCCAGAGCCTGAGCAGTGGAGAAGCAGTTCCCATTCCCCGCCCAGGCCCAGCAGGACCTGTCCAGGGAGATGGACACTCCTTACCTCCCATTGCCCGCCGCCTGGGCCACCACCCGCCACAGTCCCTCAACGTCGGCAAGCCCTTGTACCAGAGTATGAACTGCAAGCCCATGCAGATGTACGTGCTGGACATTAAAGACACCAAGGAGCAGGGGCGGGTCAAATGGAAAGTATTCAGCAGCACCTCTGTGGTTGGACCTCCTGAGACCAGCCTGCACACAGTGGTCCAAGGCAGGGGTGAACTCATCATATTCGGAGGACTCATGGACAAGAAGCAGAATGTGAAGTACTATCCAAAAACAAACGCCTTGTACTTTGTGCGTGCAAAGAGATAATGTGTTCCGATCTTCTTTCCCTTTCTGTGGCTTTTAATTTGGAATTTTCCAGTGTGCAAGCATTTGGACTAAGAATTGGGAAAACAATACCATATTCCCATAAACCAAAACTCCAGTGCCCAATCTAACTCACTCCAGGCTGGGAAAAAATCTTCATTAAGACAGATTATATATGAAAAATATATTATATAGCTAACTCTGTTTACAAAAATGGGAGAGATCTCCATCCTAGTTCAGATAAAATTGTTGCTGTGTTTTAGCAGAGGCTGTGCTGCCTTTTTCTACTTTGCTGATAACTAGACCGAGATTCATTATGTTTCCAATAGAAACCGAAGAGCCCCTGTACATCTCTCGGTGGCCTTCTCAGAATTAAGAGGATGGGAAGGTCGTGGCTAAGGGTGCAAGGGCTTCAGCGCAGCCCCCACCCCTGCAGGTACTGGCGGGGTGCAAGAGATCAGAAGAAAACCACGGAGGACCTGTGACTGCTCTGCAGGATTCCCCATGCCTGGTCCCTTTTCTGCCCTCTGTGACCTGGGGAAGTCATCCAGCGAGGGATTTCTTTTTCCAGGTGTGCCAGGATCATTGAGGAATGTTATGCAGCCGACATCTGTCCACCTGTCCACCTCGTGTCCATTGGTCCTTTGAGTTCTCCCTACATGTCTCAGAAAACATTTGCTGTCTGATTGTGAAATTTTCTGACAATCATGTTTGGTCGCAAGTTCCCAAAACCTGTTTTTGTTCTTTGTCCTTATTTTTTTCGTTCCCAGAGGCTGTATTTTCCATTTATAGGCTGCTCTCCACCCCTCACACCCTTTTTCATTTGGATTTCCTAAGTCCTAAAACCTGTCTCACTTTATTTCTTTCACAGAGCTCAGGTTCCTAGAGAAATCAGATGCTTCTGAGAAGTATTTCCAGAACCTTTTCCCTGGTATTGCTAGGGGGCAAGTACAGAATTCTGAGATGCTAGTATTGTGAGAAATCCTTGAAACATCAAAAGGCACCTTTCTCCTTGTGGGCTTCTTTTTTTTTAGTCCACGCACATTGGGCACACTCATCCGTATTTGTAGAAGGTGGAGATTGGTCCTGGAAGGGACCAGTCAGTCCCCTGGGGAGCAGGATGTGTCCCTGTGGCCGTCTGTGCCTGGCTGTTGACAGCTGACCAGATCGCATATCCTGTACTTGACCTTCGTGACACTTGGCTGCCCTGGGATGCAGCTTCCTCACTTGTGCTTGTCTTGAAGTTCATGTATCACCCACACCCAGACAGAGCATGGGCTTTAGCTTTGCCTTTATTTCTGAGATAAGGTGCAACCACGCAAGAACATTTCTTTGGTTAATACAGAAAGTTAGAAGTTAACTAGACTCTAAACCATGGCCGGGACACAGGAGATGTCAAATGAGTTTGTTTCAAATCGGACCATTTAAATCTGGGGTGGGTTGGGGATTTGGCTCAGTGGTTCCGCCACCTGCCTCGCAAGCGCAACGTCCCAAGTTCGATCCCTGGTACCAAAGAGAAAAAAGAAAAAAATTTTAAATCTGGGTTTTGGAGATTCCTCTTCGGTGGATAGATTATGTTACCTTTAGGGATTTCAGAACATGTTTCCCACCCCCACACCCCTTTCTCTTGTTAGCGTTTCTCCAGGTGAGGCTGTTGGCAGCTGGCCCTGGGTCCTGGCGCCCATCCTGCACTCCACAGCCCTCTTGATTAGTGTGTTTGCTCCTGTTGCACCGTGTGGAACCCGCCCCTCACTGTCCACTTCGCCTGTGTGGTCTTGGAGGGAGAGGCCTCTGGTGCCAAGCCCAGGAAGGGCTGGCTCTGGACGGGGGGTTTGCACGTGCCTGAAGTTGCTCTGCTGCTGCTTCAGAGGAGGGACGGACCACGTGCCTACTTCCTCTGGTGTCACACTGCTCAAAGCTGCAAACAGCTTTCCAACTCCCTGCTCTGCGCTGATGCCAATCCTTCCTTGGCCAAGACTGTTCTATCTTTGGGGTCGTGAACTACAAGGCAAAGCCAGCCTAGAAGATTAGACATCGCTGCTGTTGCTTAACCTCATCTGTGACATTGAGTTTGTGCATGGACAGTGCCTCCAGACTCAGTTCCCACCTAAGTATAAAGTATTTGGAAGCCTGGAGGTTCCGAATCTCTACCTTGTAATCTCTCCCTCTGCCCTGTGGCCTTCCTAAGCCAGCTGTTAACCTGTTGATTCCTCTGCTTTCCCACGTTGGCAAGTGACAGAGATGTTGCTTCTCTTAGTAATGCAGTTCCTCCGAATCCGCACACCTCAGTGTCACCCAGACCGCTGGGAACCAAACTTGTTCTACAGCCCTCTGTCCATACCCCATGGTGTGGGTCTCAACTCCTGGGCAGTGTGGGTGTGGAGCTGTGGGAAAGCCACTCAGCACAGTCAGGTGATTGTCTCTCTGGGCCCTCGGGAGGCCATCTGCAGTGGGTGTCTCAGTGCCATCAAATCCAATGTGAACCACAACTGTTTTTGAGGCAATACCAATTTTGTCTTAAATTCACTGAGAGAAATGAGACAAAATATTTTTGTTTAAACCCTCAGGAGCGCCTAAAGGAAATATTTATCAGTATTTAAGTATTTAAAACACACCTTGTTTCTACTTGAAGCTTTAACCCTCCATTTCTACAAGTGTGCCTTTGAGAGCCCCTAGGTCATATTGACTTCGCCGGTCACCATGCTGACCTCATGTAAGAATTTTAGTCTCTTCTGCCCTCTGGGATAGAGCTTCCTAAACTCATTCCACACATTAAGCAGCAGAGAGCTTTCTGTACTTTTGCCCCTGTTTCTACCCTTCTTCCACACTTGGGGGTTGGGCTCCATGACCCCACCTTCCCTCACGTTCTAGGAGCACATTTCAGTGTCAGAACAAGCTTAAATTTTGTTTTTAAGGCAATACGGGACTTACTCTCCTCCTGGCCTTCTGTGGGTTGATTTGATTTTAATCTTTGCATTTATAGCAAGAGCTGAAATCACGAACTATCTAGGAACTATGTTGGGATATTTTATAGTGAGGAGGAGAAAGAAAAAAAAAGCCGGGTAAGAAGTTTTGACTTTGGAGGTTGGAAAACCACTGGTCAACAGAGAGCAAAAGGGTATTTCCCTTTCCTTCACCTTGTCTTGTGGGTTTCCTCTGTGTCCTTTTCTCCCTTCCCCTTCAGAGTGATACACCTGGTTGGTCTGTCTGTCCTTGTCTTCCTGGTGATCCTGGCGTGGTGAGGTGGTCTTGCACCAGTGCAGCTGTCAGTGGGGAAGATCTGAACCCGCCCCGGGCAGAAAGCCTGCGCTCAGCTGTCCCCTGGAACTGTGGAAGACCTGTTCTCAGCAGCTCCCTCCCCCGCGTGCATTGTGAGTGAGAGCAAACCTTAGGCGTGGGCTCTGTTGTACTCTCTGTACCTGCCTCGCTCCCTCCCACCAGCCAGGGTTCATGTCAGTGCACATCCATCGTGCCCTGGCAAAGCTGGTGCTGTCAGTGGTGTTTCCCGTACAATTCCGGGGTGCCGGTGGCTTACCCTGAGATAGTCATTTTAGGCGCATAACAGTGTAGGAATGAAATTGGATTTCACGGATATTTAAATCTGTCAATTTGATTTTTATTATTGTTTTCCCCGATGACTTTTTAGCAATTTAACAAATAAAACAAAATGGACAGAATTGTCTTGACTGTTTTACTAGTATAGAAAAGGGGAAACAGAAAACATTGCTGCAATGGAAATTGAGCGGGGAAGCAAGGTGGTTGAACTAGGCATGGCAGTGCACACACCACAATCCCAGCACTCTGGGAGGCTGAGGCAGGAGGATGGTTAACTGAGCCAAGCCCAGTCTGAGCAATTTAAACCCTGTCTCTAAAGAATTAAAAAGGGATGGGGACACAGCTCAGCACAAAGGCCCCAGGTTCCATCCCTAGCACTGAAAAAAATAAGGCAAGATAGGTGGAGAGGTGCTGTCTCCTTTAGGTGGGTCATGTTTGAGGGGAGAGGGAGAGCTGCCCTTCCCTGGGATAAGCAGCTTCTCACGCCGCGCTGAAGGACTTGGCGGTGCCACCTGCAGTGAAGACCTAAGGGAAGCCATGACCTTGGAGCAGGGCCCCAAGGGCCCGGACACCACCTGCACCGTCACCAGCCTCCTAAGCCGAGATGAAGTTACCAGGCCCCAGCGTGCGGAAGCATCATAGTAAGTACCAGCTGGCGTATGGGCCAGAAGCCGCGCACGGTTAAACCCCACCTCCCCTCTTCACCGCTTAGTCTAGGATCCAGGTGTCCTCCTACGTACGTAAAGGTAGTTGTTTCTTCCCTGCAGAACTAAGGGAGTGACCGAAGTTGTGTGAAACATGCTGGCTACCACCTGGCCAGGTGTGGGGTGCACACCTGTAACCCCAGTACTCCGAAAGCTGAGGCAAGAGGATTGCTGTGATTTCAAATCCATCCTGCGCTGGCTACGTAGTCCAAAGCCAGCCTGAATTACACAGTGAGACCCAGTCTCTAAAAAAGGTGCAACGACAGGCCTGACAAATACTGAGTGGGGAGCCATTGCCTGCCCACACAGGCCGGGCCCAGCACTCCTCAGCCAAGGGTTTTATTTTTGGTTTTATTGCATCCCAGGGCCTCTGGCCTGTGCTTGTTTGGGTGTGAATTACAAGACCTAGTTAGGGAAGGGCCAGCCATGCCGGAGTCAGTATCCCCATGTCTACTACCTTCAGCCCAAGGCCCTGTGCTGAGGACCAGACTTGGAAAAGGGGCCTGTTTATCCCAGCCAAGGCCTGCCCTCTGCTGCTGTGGCCGCCTCCCCCATCCCCCTACCCCCCGCAGCACCGCCAGCCCTAGTGCAAGCAGCATTCCTGTGGGTGCTGTGTGTGGGGTGATCTCACCACTGCTGGAAGTGCTGGGGCAGAGACCAATTACCTGCGTGGGAGCAGATGACAGCCAGTTTATGGGTCAGACCAAGTGGGACCTACGTGCCTTTTCAACTCTTGAGATTTCGCTGTGGCTTCAGAAGAGGCATAGATTTTTTAAAAAACAGTTCTACTACTGAGCTGGGACAACCATCCCACTTCTGAGTCTGCTTTTATCATTAAAATGGCAGTGATGACACCATCCTCACAGTAGCCAAGAATATTGACTTTTGAGTAGATGTGATTCCCAGAAAGGCCACGTGGGGGCACTCTGTGAAAGGCTTTGAGTGTGCCTGGGCTCCAGCCAAGGCCGTGGAGGATGCAGGATGGGCAGGAGGAAAGGACTTGGCCATTTCTCAGCCCCCGTCAGAGAAGCCTGGGTGGTACCCCTGCGTACTGTCTGTCTCCCAGTACCATCCCAGGCTGGCTGAGCTGTGGGAAAGTCTGTCTTCCCACAAGGCTGGGCTCCGTCCAGCTCCCGTCAGAATGCGCCAAGCCAAACTAATGTCTTAGCAGGTGCCGGCTAGTCCTGGTGGAGTTGGTGTGCTCCCGCCGGGGAGGGAGTCCGACGGCCCACTGCCGGGAAGGGAAGGGAAGGAGAAGCCTCGGAGGAGTGAGCGAGGCTGTGTGTGCCTGGAACTGACCTGGGGACGGCTTGTCCTCAGCGAGCTCTCCAAACAGCTGCTGACCCCCAAAGGGCTGAGACACAGGAGACCGAAGCAGCTGCCCCCAGGAGCTCAGCACCTGTTCACGACAGGGACATGTCATGCTGGCTGGACAAAGATGACAGGTCCTGAGCTTCTGAGGTCAGGAGACAGTCCAGAGTATCATACCACAAAGACCTGAAAGGGAGGCCGGCGGGGTGGAAGGCTGAGTCAGGGGGATCCCAAATTTGAGGCCAGCCTGGGCTACATAGTGAGACCCTGTCTGAACAAATAAAGGAAAAGGAAAGAGGAGGTGGAGTCAAACTACAGCCAGCCAGGAAGATTCGGACAAGTCTTGCTGTGCTGTCTTAGTTCTTTTTGCTATGACATACTGTTGACTGAGTAATTTATAAACAACGAAAGTTATTTTCTCACTGTACTGCAGGCTTGGGAGTCCAGAATCAAAGCACCAGCAGGTACGCGATTTGGTGACCCCAGTCTCCTTCCTGAGATGGTGCCTTGTTGCTGCTCCCGTGTGAACGCCGTGTCCTCGTGGACAGGGCAAATCGGGCCATCGGCATTTTCGTAAAGTTGCCTGAAGTCTGACCTCATGACATAATCACTAAAATACACGTTGGCAATTCAGTGTGAACACATGATCTGGGGGATATTCATTCCACAGCACCTGGCTAACCTGTGGCAGGAGCGTATGAGGATGCGGCCTTTCTGGGCATCCCAGATGGGTAGGGTCTGGGCCTCACCTTGTGGCTAGTAATGCAGGATGTTGATGGGCCTGTAGGCCCCCTAAGGGAGTAAGTCACCACCACGCTGCACCCCACCCCCCAGGCAGGAGGCAGAAGTGCTACACAAAACTGGTATAGTTCCACTGGGAGGCCGAGACAGGAGGATCGCAAGTTCAAGCCCAGCCTGACAATTTAGTGACCCTGTCTCCAAAGCAAAAAGTAAAAACTGAGTTTGGAATGTATTTCAGTGAAATCCCAGAGTTCAATCCCTAGTACCAACACACACGCACACACACACACAACTACTCAAGGCTCAGTGGTAGGACTAAGGACATTGTAGAGTGACTCGTGTGGATGGGATGTGAGAACACCTCTTAGGGATTAGGGAAATCACCACGTATGGGACAAGGCTTGTGCCCTGGGAGAGACCGCTGCTGAGGAGCGTGAGCTCCACCCCGGCCGTGTTCCCTAGCCTTGAGGTAGCACCCTCTCCTCCAGTGATTGTGGGCCCCAGGCATGGCGGGGAGGGGCGAACAGAAACTTGAAGAGTGTTGAAAGTACAGGGAATGGGAAACAGCTGACTCATTTGCCAGGAAGTCACTGAATTAAAATGCCTGCACTGGAGAGGGGAGCAGCTGAGACCCAGTCTGGGAAATGAAGTTTGTTCGGTTTTATTTTGTTGTTTGTGGTACTGGAGAGTGAAACTGAGGGCGTTGTGCATGCTAAGCAAACACAGCACACTGAGCTATGCACATCCAGCCCTGAAGTTCTGCTTGTCTCATTTTATGGTGCTAGAGATTGAACTCGGGCCCTTGTGCTAGCAAGTGTTCTGCTACTGAGCTCCACCCCTGGCCCTTTCTGCTGTTCCTCACTTTGAGATGGCCTTGCTGTTTGCCCAGGCTGGCCCTGAGCTTGCAGCTCTCTTGCCTCAGCCTCTAGATTTGGTGGGATTACAGTTGTGTACCACCCGGCCTGCTGGTTCTGTATCTTACCCATCTGCATCTGTGACGGGAGAAATGTGTACTTGCTTCAGGGAGGAGTGAAGCCAGGGGTGCCAGGAACCCAGAGGGGAGAGTGGGGCTTTCACAGGAGCCAGGACTGGTGTGCAGGACATGGAGCAGCCTGTGCAAAGGCACAGAGGTCGAGGGCCCATGCCAGGCCTTTGAACCTTGAGGACACTAAGTGGAGAATGGACTGGGGATAGAAAAGGTGGGGCCCAAGGCAGTGGCAACCAGGAGAGGACATCGTCAAGACGTGTTGGGTAGCTGGGGCTGGGCTCGGTGGGACAGTACTTGGCTGACACGCTAGGTCAGATCCCAGCTCAGCCTCGTCACAGGTGACCGGACGGAGTGGGGCAGGAGGTGTCCGGCTGGCCCTTCTCCTTGCATTCAACAGCAGCGTGGCCTGTAGGCCCTGCTGGTCGCCAGGCACTGTCCCTGTCCCTGCCCTGTGGACTTCGCCTGTGAGCATGGGTAGGGGAAAGGGACAGACGAGTGTGTGGACGGCTAAACAAGGCCGCCCCGGAGGGTGATGTGGAGGAATGTGGCGGTGTGTCGTAGGTTCGCTCATCTAAGAGGCCCTTTCTGTGGTGGCAGCGTGGCGGCTGAGACTTGTAAAGAAGCCAGCTCTAAGCCAGGCACAGTGGTGCACGCCTATAGTCCCAGCACTCTAGGAGACTGAGGCAGGACGATCAAAGTTCAAGCCCAGCCCGGGCAATTTAGTGACTTAGCAAGACCCTGTCTCAAAATAATAGAAAATATGAGGGCTGGGGATGAAGCTCAGTGCAAAGGTTCTGTGTTCAATCCCCACTACCAGGAAGAAAAAATTTTAAAAACCCAGTTTTGGGAAGATTTGGGAGGCAGAGTGATCCCTGCAGAGGGGGCTGCAGAAACAAAGGCCCTGCGGTGGGCCTGCACTTGATGAGTTCGAGGAAAGGAAAAGCCTACAGGGCTGGAGCACTGGAGTGAGGGGCTCCCCGCAGGCCATGGGAGGGAGGGTCATTCCAGGGGCGGTGGGAAACCAGAGGAGGGTGTTAGGCCTTGGGCCCCGTCAGCTTCCCCTCAGGACCCTCGGGCAGGGCAGCCAGGCCTCACTGGGACCTGTCCTCATCCTGCCCACCAAGCCTCTGTGTGTGCCCCAGGCCTCTGGTCCACCCCAGGCTGTGTCTGCGTCCCTGCTGAGGACTGCGTTCAAGGCTGTGTTGGAAGCGCAGAATAAACCCTTGTGGGGTGACACCAGGCTAACCTGAGCAGGCTGGCCGGAGGGCCACAGGGAGATGGTCCACCCAGCTTGCCTGAGGACAGATGCTGAGCCCAGGAGCCTAACCCTTCGCTGCAGGACTGCAGATTCACTGGCTCCTGTTGCACAAAATTGTCAGGATGCATTAGTGAGAGGCCCGGGTAGATTTATTAGAAAGAGATTTTAGAACACATTCAAAGGAATAGAGTGCAGGCCTTCAAGAGAGAGGCACATTATTTTCTGGACTGGGGAATATTTATTCTCCTGAGAGATAGAAACCCTGGTAAGAAGTGGCCCACCCCCCAGGAGGGTACTGGCCCATTTTACAGGTGTGGACCCAGCTAGGTTGTGTTTTCTTTTTAAGAAACAAGCATTCTTTGGATTTTTCTCAACCTGCTCCTTTTATATTAAGTTCAGGCTCCTGCTTTAGTTTGTTTGTTTTGTTTTTTTTGAGACAGAGTCTCACTATGTAGTTGAGACTGACCTGGAACTCACTATGTAGCCCAGGCTGGTCTTGAACTCACAGCGATCCTCCTGCCTCAGCCTCCCAAGTGCTGGGATTACAGGCATGAGCCACCATGCCCGGCTTTTACTTTTTTTTTTTTTTTTTTTTTTAACTTTTTAATTAAGCCAATTTAGACTTTCAATTTTCCTGAGGAATTTTGGGTGTGATAGGTCTGGGAAAAAAGCCTAAATTTAAGCAAGGGAATGCCGATATGGATCACCTGTTTAAAAGTTTTGTTTTTGTTTTTTTGGGTTTTTTGTCTTTGTTTTTGATACTGGGTATCGAACTCAGAACTTTGTGCTTGCAAGGCAGGCAGGCGCAGTGCCATTGAGCTAATTCCTGGGCCCTAAAAGTTCATTTTTAGTTATGGTTTCCTTGTTTCCTTTCTACCTGTTTTTTATTTCCTTAGCCCCAGCAGGACACACAACTTAGTGATCACGGGGCACAGGAAGGTGGAACCCATGAGACAGGGATGGTCCACAACTGTCCCTCCGAAATGTAGTTGCTGTCAGTCACTCCCAGGCCCCTGCAGATGGCGGGGTTCTCCTCCCCAGCAGCACCGGTTATCTGAGTGAGGTCCACAGGCCCTGGGAATGTGGAAGCCCTAACCCCAGGCAGAAGGTATTTGGAGATGGGTCCTTTAAGGATGTAATTAAAGTTAAATGAGGTCATGGCTTCAGGGTCCTAATCCAGTAGGACTGGCGTCCTTAGAAGAGAAAGAGGCACCGGGAGAGTGGATGCAGAGAGCAGGCCCCTGAGGCGGGCAGAGTGACAAGGCGCCTCGCCAGAAACGCACCGCCAGCACCTGATTTTGGATTTCCAGCCTCCAAAACTGCGGAAAGTGTATCTGTGCTGCTTAAGCCCCCAGTCTGCGGTTCTCTGTCACAGCAGCCCAAAGTGATTAATAGGCACCCTGAAGGTAGGTAGAAAGGAAACAAAGAAAATCAAGATTTTAAAATTGTGCTTTTATTTATTTATTCATTTATTTATTTTTGCTACCGGAGATCGAATTCGGAAACTTTCACTTGCAAAGCAGGCAGTGGAACCACTGAGCTAAATTCCTGGCCTTTAAAAATTGTACTTTTAAGAAAAACTGCAAGCTAGTCATTGGTACATGCCTGTAATCCCAATATTTGGGAGGCTGAGGCAGAAGGATCACAAATTTGAGGCCAGCCTGGGCAAAATGTGCAAGACTGTCAAAAAACAAAACATGTAGTTCAGGGAAATAGGACCCCTGGGTTCTATCCCCATACAATAATATCAGTAACAATAATTCAACTTGAGCGTTGCTAGGGCCCAGACACTGCTGTAAAGAATCCTACCGTATAACATACATGGCATTTTACGTCCACGTCAAAGACGAGGAAACAGGCGCAGCAGGCGTGGAACATTTCTGGAGAGGGAGGCGATTCGGTCGAGTTTGAGAGGAAAGACTGGAGCGAGGACGGGCGTGGTAAAGAGGCCCGAGACCCAGATGGGACGGTCTGGCCCCTGTCCCTGTGCTGCGCTAACACCGCGAGGACCCCTGCGTCTCCATGGCGACGGCCTCTGCACATGCGCCTCGGCTCCCTGCGGGCTGGCGGCGCTTACCGAAGCCGACTCGGGCTGGGCGGAAGACGGTTCCGAGCCGGGCCAGGCGCGGGCCGTTAAAGGGACCGTCTCCACCGCAGCTGGTTCCACCGGCACTGCTGACTGCGAAGGCTGCGTAGACCTGGGAGTCTGGATGTGGGAGGCAGAGGAGAGGCAGGTCTCTGTGATCCCCCACACACTAGACGTGGTAAGGGGCGGATCCTTTGGGGAAGAGTTGTGCAAACCCCTCTCCCGGGACGGCGGGATGACTGCGCCCGGGAGACAGGGGAGGAGGGGAGTTGGCCTTCCGGGTGGGGGGCTGGGGCTGCGCGGAAGAGTGAGGGGCGGTCAGGTAGGGTCACCGTCCGGCTTGGGATGCTCACGCCCCCCAGCTCTGCTCTCCGACCTGTGGGCGTACTCAGCCATGGCCCGGCCAGCGCCCGGCTCCGTGATTGTCCCAGACTGGCACGAGACGGCCGAGGGCAAGGAGTACTTGGCCTGCATCCTGCGCAAGAACCGCCGGCGGGTGTTCGGTAAGTGTCCCCTTCCCCAGTTTGTAACTTGTCGCTCCCTGGGGAAGACCGTGTCACCTGGGCTCCGGAGGACGCAGAGAAGCAAAGCAGAGGACCTGCTCCTGTGTGCGCCGTGGCCGTAGGGACTCCCGGAAGCCCCATCCCCGGGCCCCACCCCCAGTCCTCCCGGAGCTGATTCCGTCAGCAGACCCAGCAACACGGATCTGCCGAAACCCTGCCAGCAACCGCTGTCACCAGAGATGCAGGCGATTGAGCTCCCACTTGGTGGTGGGCCCTCTGCTGGGCACTGGACCCCGTGGGCTCCCATTTCACTTCTCAGCAACACGTGTCGGGGTCGCGCCCTAGTAAGGAGAGAGCAGCCTCTTCCATCCCTGCCGTCCCAGATGCAGCGCGAGGCTGTTGGCCCAGGGGCCTGGCATCAGCTGCCAGAGCCCCGCCATGGGTAAAAGATACAAAACTGGCAGGCTTAAGACCTGTGAGTGAGAGAGCAGCCCGTTCCAGGATGTTCAGGTCCTTGGCCTGTAGGCCTGTCTTTATCTTGACAGTTTTTGTTTGTTTCCTTATTTATTTATTTGGGACCAGGAATTGAATTCCAGTCCTTGAGCTCTCGAGGCAGGCAGCAGAACCACTGAGCAAAATCCCCAGTCCTCCTTTTGTATTAGCTATATGTTTGCAATACATAATAATTAACATTCGTCCCAGGTGTGCTAGTTGTAGGCTAAAAACACCCACAAAGGTCTCAATGCATTGATCCTGTAGGGGTTATTTGTAGTAATTGAAAATAATTTTATTTCCGTTTCTCTGTTAAAGAAGGAAGCCATAGCACAGAGATGCATCCCTGTAATGGCAGCTCAGGAAGCTGACGCAGGACGGTCACAGGTCTGAGGCTAGTCTCAGCCACTTAGTGAGACTCTGTCTCAAATTAAAATGTCCAAGGGGATGGGGCGTGACGTGGTGGTGTGTGCCTGCAGTTCTACCACTGGGGAGGCTTAGGCAAAAGAATCACCCCAAGTTGGAGGCCAGCCTAGGCTACACAGTGAACTACATAGGGAGACCCTGTCTCAATAAAACGGCAGGGAGGAGTTGGATGTGACTCAGTGGAGAGAATTGTGAAGAACCATACTCTTGTATGTGGAAAATCTAGAACATTATCACAGTGAAATTAAAAATCATCTTATGCATCAAATTTTTTAAAAGATTGGGTGAAGCTGGGTGTGGTGGCACACACCTGTAGTCCCAGCACTTGGGAGGCTGAGGCAGAAGGATTGCCCAAGTTCAAGGCCAGCCTAGCCTACATAGTAAGTTCAAAGGCAGCCTGAACTGCATAGTGAGACCCTGTCTCAAAAAAGAAACAAAACAAAACAAAAAAGATTGGGTGTTATTTGGAGTGGTTTAAGGTCCCACTCAGAAGGGCCCACTGTTCTAGGCAGACTCCTCACCTAAGGTCCTATTAAAATGCGGACTCTGATCCCATGGGTCTGGGCTGCTGAGGTTCACACTTCTAACAAGGTCCTAGGACACCAGTGCTGATGGCCCATGGATCATGTTGTGAGTAACAGAGGACTGAGGATTTAAAATTGTTTTATTTTATTATTGTTATCATTTTGTTGTTTGCTTATTTGCTTTTTGAGACAGGGTCTCACTATGTAGTTCAGGCTGGCTTTGAACTTACTACATACATTCACTATGTAGCCCTGGCTAGCCTCAAACTCGTGGTGATCCTCCTGCCTCAGCCTTCCAAGTGCTGGGATTACAGGCGTGTACCACTGTCCCTGGCTCTTAATAGTTCTTTTTTGAAGAAATTTATATACATCAAAAGACAGAAATATCAACTGTGTTACATTGACAAATGGATCCATCTATAACTTATACCTCCGTCGCAACATAGAATATATTATCTCTGCACAAGTTTGCCACCAGACCCTGCTGAGACTAAATATCCTAGAACTGCGATCCCCTGAGATTTTGGATCCAAACTCAGTGTTTCTACACAAAACATGGGAGTTTTTCAGTTCCTTTGTATCTCAGGAACCTTACATTGGTGCCTTTTGCATGTATGGGAGTTAGGCTGGAGTCTTTTATTACTAAGGATAGCTAGCAGACTAGGGTTTCTAAATAATTTACTTTTTAATTTACTTATTTATTTGTGTGTGTGTGTGGTACTGGGAATCGAACTCGGGCCCTTGTGCTTGCTAAGTTGATCAGGCTGGCCTCAAACTTGTGACCCTCCTGCCACAGTCTCCCAGAGTGCTGGCATAACAGGCATGCACCACTGTGCCTGGCTAAGTGTTGACTCTTAGTGTGTTTGTTACGCGATCAGCTGTGTTGAGCGGAAGAGATGAGAGAAGGTAGAACCAGGATTGGGAATTTCCATATGCAGAGCTCACAACCCTTCTTATCTGCGTCGCAATTTGGAGCAGCCAGAATTTAGAGGGATGGCAGTGGTCATTTGAACTTGTTTCCAGTACTAGAGATCAAACCCAGAACGCTGTGCGCGCTAGCAAGCACTTTACCACTGAGCTACATCGCCTGGCCTTGTAAGTCTTACTTTGAGACAGGGTCTTGCTAAGTCGTCCTGGCTGGCCTTGAACTTGGGATCCTACTTCTGCCTGTGGAGTACCTGGGGTAACGGTCACCACCAAGCCCCAGCTGGGACTTTGAATTTTTGTAGTGTTATTCTGACCAGCAGGCAGGTACCTTGGGGACTGATAGCTGGGGGTGCCCACCTGAGTGTGTCATAGGGGCCCCCAAAAAGGTCCAAAGCAGCTGAAAAATAGGAGTAGGCTTAGTGTATTAACTGTGAGGACTTGGGTGGTGTGTGTCTCCCGGGCCTCTGGAATATGAGGGTGAGCACTGAGAAGCTGGGCCGGTGATTAGACCTGAGGAAGTGCTTCGCTGCTCCGCATAGTCATTTATTTATTTATTTTGGTACCAGGGATCGAACTCTGGTCCTTGGGCTTACGACGCAGGCGGCGGAACCTCTGAGCTACATCCCTGGCCCTTTGCCTATAATTTAGGGAGGCTGAGGCAGCAGGATTGCAATTTCAAGCCCAGCGTGGGCAATTTAGCAAAACCCCGTCTCAAAAGAATAAAAAGGAGTGGGGATGTAGATCAGTAGTAGAGCACTCCTGGATTCGATCCCCTGCACCAGAAATAGAAAAAAGCCCTAAGAGATGATGTCATCCATCCCAGGTGCACTGGGCAAGTTTAGGACAGACCCCCTGATGCCTGGCTCCTCCCTGCTCCTCCCTCAAGGGCTGCTAGAGCGGCCACTGCTGTCCCCACCTGTGGCCATCGACACTGCCAGCTACAAGATCTTCGTGTCCGGGAAGAGTGGTGTGGGCAAGACGGCGCTTGTAGCCAAGCTGGCCGGACTGGAGGTGCCTGCGGTACATCACGAGACCCCTGGTGAGTGAGTCCTGCCCAGCGCCGTCCTCAGGGGCCTCTGTGGGGTGAGGAAAGACCCTGGCTCTCACCACAGCAGCTGGGGTCTGTCCCTTCCCGGTCCTCTGACCCTACCCACTGCCACCTCTCATGCTGATGACTGACCCTGGTCTTCCCAGGCATCCAGACCACGGTGGTGTTCTGGCCGGTGAAACTTCAGGCCAGCAGCCGGGTGGTCATGTTCCGCTTTGAGTTCTGGGACTGCGGGGAGTCTGCGCTCAAAAAGTTCGACCACATGTTGCCGGTGAGCGGCCGACAGGCCCGGTCTGGGGCCCCTGGGAGCTTGCGTGGGTCCTGAGTAAGCTCAGGGTGGTGTCTTGGCGGTAGAACCCTGAGACATCCCTGGGACATCCAGAGGAAACTCCACCCTCAGACAGCCACTCCCTGCCCTGGGCCTCAGCTTTCCTATCTGTGTGAGAGAGATTGCTATTGATTCTCCTGCTGGGGTCCGTTCTGCCCCTCATCCTGCGGCTCATTAGAGGGTTTGTGGCCACATGGTCACTTGCTGAGACCTGCCTGTCTATCCCCAGGCTTGCAAGGAGAATGCTGACGCCTTCCTCCTCCTCTTCTCCTTCACTGACCGTGCCTCCTTTGAAGACCTGCCTGGGCAGCTGGCCCGAATTACAGGCGAGGCCCCTGGTGTGGTCAGGATAGTCATTGGCTCCAAGTATCCTCTGGGTGGCCCTGGGACATGAGAAGCCACCCTGACAAGCACGGAGCAGGAGGTCAGAGACCCTGTGGGTCCAGCCATGGGCTTTTTCATAAGGGGTGCTGCATGGCCACCGCAGCCCCTGGGTGTGCGGCCTGGGTGGTATGGGCAGCAGAGATGCCTGGCCAGGATCCTTAACAGGGCCCTTCCAGATTTGACCAGTACATGCACACGGACGTGCCTGAGCGGGACCTCACCGCCTTCCGGCAGGCCTGGGAGCTGCCCCTCCTGCGGGTGAAGAGTGTGCCGGGCCGGCGGCTGGCAGATGGGAGCACACTGGACAGCCGGGCTGGGTTGGCCGACGTTGCCCATGTGCTCAATGGCCTCGCTGAGCAGCTGTGGCACCAGGACCAGGTGGCGGCCGGCCTGCTTCCCACCCCTGCAGAGAAGAGCCCTGGCTGAGAGGTGGTGGCATCATGAGTGGGTACCTGTGGCTTCCACACCTAGCCCTCAGGTGACCCAGGACAGAGGCGATAGGACCTGGGGCCTGAACCAGGGCAAGAATACAGGTCCCACCCTGAGACCTAGTGGCCAAGGGTCCCCATTTCCTGAAGGAATATGTGGCAGGGAGGCGGGACACAGGGCTCCGGGACAGGACCCCAGAGTCCAGATGTTTCCCTGCCTCCCTGCCCTCCTCTTCTGCAGCACCCATGGCGGGTGATGGGGATCTCAGCAGCTCCCTGTATCTCAGGAAACTTCGACAAAGCTTTATGAATTGAGATGACACCATCCACTCTATCAGAAATGGCTGGGGACTTGGCTCAATGGTTCCACCCCCTGCCATGCAAGCCTGGTACCAAAAAAAAAAAAAAATCCACTCTATCAGATAAACCCTGGAATCCCAGTGGCCCAGCTCTATAGAAGTGTTTTTCTCTTGCTTAGGTCTCTCCTCAGGAGGAGCGAAAGTGGAAACCCGTTCAGAGTCCCCAGGATCTTCCCAGCTGACCCTGGGGCCCCAACATCCAATCTCAGACAGGGAGAGAGGGCACGTGGAAGGTCACTGGTCACTTTCTGTGGACCGGTCCTAGGCTGGGGTCCGTTTTGCCCACACCCTTTTGGCCAGCCCACTACTGGTCATGGAGAGCTGTGGTGGGGCCAGAAGGTGCCCTGCCATCTCCCTGTGTGCCCAGGAGGTGCACCCTCCTCGCCGGTGCTTCCCTTATCACGAGGTTGCCAGGCTGGGCCCTGCCACCCCAGGAGTTAGAAAGCACCAGGCACAGGGACAGAGTGGACATGGTGGGGATCGGCTGTGAGCCGGGCTGAGGCTGCTCTGTCCCTTGGGAGGCCCAAGAGGAGAGGAGCAGGCCCGGCCTTGTGTCACCCCTGGCTCCTTAGCCAGAGCCTGGGAAAGATCAGCTGAGTGGGGTGACAGGCGGCGTCCTGATGACACCCTGCACCCATGGGTGGAGCCCTGGCCTGAGTGTGACCCAGCTGGGAGGCCCCGGGACCCCCAGACCAGCTCATTGTGGAGCTGCCTCCTGAGAAGGCACTGCACAGGCCACACTCGGTGACATGCGCTGTTTCCTTTTGCCCCTGGCACTCAGGAGGCTCCTCACCCTTAGGACGCACCCCTATCCTGGCCCACAGTCTGAGCAGTGGCCTGCATGGCTGTGTACACTGCCCGCCCGTTCACCCTGGGCCCTGGTCTTGGCCCGAGGAGAGACGACTTTAGTAGTACCTCAGGACTCCAGCGAGGCCGAGCGTGGTCCCTGGCTGATCCCACACCCAAGAAGGAATATGCCTGGGGGGACCCTGAGACAGACCCACAGGCCAGCTGCCAGCCCTGGGTATCTGGGCAGTAGTGCATTGTGGGTAGGCCCAGTGAAGGGGAGGGGACTGGCTAGGAGCCCCAGGCTGCAGGTGCTTGTGTGTTGAGCACCAGCTTCCACATGCCCCCCCAGCATCTCTGGGCTTAATTTAGAGGACTGACCCAGACTCTCCCACTGCAAGGAAGCCCTGGGCAGCTGTGCTGTGCTCGGAGAATTGACCCCCTCACCCACCTTCAGCCAGAGCCAAGCGGTTCCTGAGGAAGAGCAAAGCAGGAGGGGACACTGGTGCTGGGTTTGCAGCCTGGCCACAACCCAGCCAGGGCTGTATTCTCAGGCCCCGCCCCAGGGCCATTTCTGTACTTAGCAGGCCACCCATTGGGCCGCTACCAAAGGGCCGGACTGGGAGCCAGCCAGGAGGGCAGAAATCTCTATTTGCCAAAGGCAGTGCCCTGTGGAGAGGACAGAAGATGTGGGCTCTGGGCACATTCAGGCTGACCCTGTGGGCCTGCTGTCAGTGGCCAGTTGAATGCCCTGCTCCTGCCACCCTAAGGTCTGCATTTTCATTCTGCACTGAGCCCCATAAATAATTTAGTCAGTCCTGGGCATTATGTCCAAGAAGGGTGTCTGGGCCACAGATGCAGCTCCTCTTCTCAGAGCCACCTCAGTACAGTGTCGAGGTCGCTGGGAGCTGAGCGTGGTGGCGCATGCCTGTAATCTCGGCTACTCAGGAGGCCGAGAGCAGAACGGCAGCATGGAGGCCAGCGGCTACTCAGTGAGACCCTGCCTCAGAATTTAAAAATAAAAGGTACTCAGTGGTACCTCTGGGTTAGATTCCCCAGTACTGAAAAAAAAGAAAAAAGAGAGCCACAAGGAGCTGAATGTGGTAGTGAGCTCTTATAACCTCACCTACTTGGGAGGCTGAGGGAGACAGGAGGACAGAATTCAAAGGCAGCCTGGAGAGCTTCACTGACTTAGTGAGACCCTGCCTCAAAAATAAAGGGACTGGGAAGGTAGCTTAGTGCAAAGACCCTGGGCTCAATCCTCAGTACCAGAAAAGAAAACAGCAAAACAGAAGTAAAAGCCATGACAGCTTTTCAGAGGCAAGCACCCTGGGGACTTAAGACTCCCCGGACAGAAGGGAGGGGTGGTGGTCACAGCCCAGACCCAGAGGGTGAGACCAGGACAGTGGTGGCCCTGGTACCTTCTCATGGCTCTGAGGGAGCTGGCGGGAGGGGGATGCTGTCTTCTGCTGGGTAGGAACGGGGTAAATGCAGCCCACCTCCTCCTCTGCCCTCCCCACATCTTGCAGGCCGGGATGCCGAAGCCCAGAGAGGGGCAGGCGTTTACCCAGGCTACAGAGCCCGGAAGCTGCTCTGATGCTCCTAGCCCATCTCCGTCATCCCCCACCTCCCCTAGTTCTGCCTCCAGGCCCTGCCCCTCACAGGCTCCTACCTGGCTCTCCTGCTCTTTCTGTACAGCCCAGGGCTGCGTGGTGCTGGTGACTCCCTCTTCCCTTGTGTCCCCAGCCTTCTGGAGCACACTGAGCTGACAGGGGAGCTCCTGCCCGCTCCGGGAGGAGCCTGGCCTGGGATGCTGGGGAGACCTGCAGGGGCTCCCGGGCTGGTGGGGGGCCTTGGGTGAGTCCTGGATGGGACGGGCACCCTGATCATGTCCTAGACCTTCCTGGGCAGCGCGGCGCCAGTGTTGCCCTCTCGCGCTGGGCCTGGACTAAGGGAGGGCGGTCTGTGGTAAAATGGGCAGGGGCTCAGGGTCCAGGGCAGTTTGGAGAGTGCAGAGGTGAGCCCGGGCTAGAGGGTGGGCCAGAGGGAGGAATGGGGCTCGGAGGGTGGAGAGGACAGAAGGAAGATGACAGCACTGAGTGAGCTGGGGCTGTCTCTGCCATGCCCATGTGCTCTTGTACGTGGACGTACAGTACGCTGTTTGCAGTACTTACATGTAAGGTGTTCACACCGTGCCAGGCACCAAGTCAAGGGCACCGTAAATGTTGGCAGCTGCCGTTGTCCTTGTTATGAGAGGCTGAGCACTGGTGAGAGAGGAAGGAGAAGGGCTCAGGCCCATCAGCAGGTGAAGCACTGCTCAGCCAGGGCTGGTGGCATGGGGCAGAGGGAGGAGCTGGCTGGAGAACACCCTGTAGCCCAGCCTGGGCCCCTCACGCTCACCTCTGTGCCTGCTGGGCAGAGAACAGGACCCAGACAATAAATGAGTTCGCACCCCACAGAGATTTACCTCCCAGACAACAGGAGCAATTTTTTCCACAACAGAGAAACCAAAACCCATGATACCCAGCTGGGTGTGGTGACGCTTGCCTGTGATCCCAGCACTCTGGGAGGCTGAGGTGATTTAGCAAGACCTGGTCTCAAAATTTTAAAAAAAGAAAAGAAATTTAAAGGGCTGGATATGTACCCCAGCATAAAGACCCACAACCACCCCAAAAGGGAAAAATCTGTGTGACTTAGGACAGACTCTTGCATGTCCCCGCTAACCTCAACTGAGGGGTGCCCCTGCCACGGGCCCTCCCTCAAATCCCTTCCCTCCCCAGGCACCCTGCGGCCTCCCTTGTCCCTTTGCCTTGGAGGAACCCAAATCCCTCTGCTCTGGAGCAGATCCCCTTCACTTTTGGCTTTAGAGCGACTAATGAACCCAGACCGCAGGCACCCGACAGGGAAGTGGGACAGATCTGTCCTGCGTGTCCCCGACCCCTTGCCTCTGCGGTGGCACAGACTGCTCACGCAGGAGAAGTGGAGCTGCCCGCGGGTAGCAGAGCGGCGGCAGCTCACAGAAGCTCTTCCAAAAGCGGCCCGGACAAGATCAGTTAGGTCTCGGTCAGGATCGTAGTGGAGGAGGTTGGGGGGGTCTGGACCCCCTGAGACCCTGGCCTCCCAGGAGTACAGCCAGGTGGAGCACAACTTCAGGTGAGGGAGGTTAGGCTTGGCGGGGTGAGCCCAGGGGTGGAAGCTTCCCAGATACCGGTGACTCTGTACCCCCAGGTCTAGCTCAGGCTGGACTCGGGACCTCGGTGAGGCTGCTGTGCCGGTGCACGCACAGATGTCTGCAGCATCCCGCAGGACTTAACACCTGCGCCTTCCCGGCCCAAACTGGACTGGCAGTGGGCGTGGCCTGCCAGGGAGGGGCGGGGCCAGCGGAGAGCCCAACATGTCACTCATCCCTTTGTCCCTTTTTGGCCAGCCTGAGAGGCTCCTCTAGCCGAACTTGCCTTAGGTCTCTGTCCCTGTCCCTTCTGAGCCTGGGATCCTGGCTGTGCCTCAGCCTTCCCCCGCCCTGATGCCCCGCTGTTCCATCTGCCTTAGATGCGCCTGTAATTGGAACGCACCCAGCCCAGGCTGAGCCTCGCGGCAGATGGGCGCCTGTCTCCCCAACCGTGGACTCTGGACTCCCGTGGTTGTATTAGGGTCCACGCTAGGCAGAGGGCTGGGCTCCCGACTCCTGCTCTGCTCAGATTCCTGGGCAGCGATCCCCACAATGCCTGCTTCAGTGAGCAGATGCAGCAAGTGGGGAAAGGGCTGCTTGGGGAGGGTCCAGCAGGGACCTCCAGGGCACAGAGGTGACACCAGCCCTTCTTCCTGGAAGGTGGCAGATCTCAGCCCCCACACTGCCTACCTGCTGGTTGAGGCAGCCTTCCCTAAACAAGGCACAGGTCCCAAGCCCAGTTATCAGACAGCAAGGCACCGCGGGGCAGGGGAGAGGATTCTGAGCCTTCCCTCAGTCCCTTTGAATTGCCTGGGTACCAGTTGCCTGACACAGATTCAGCCCTTGCCAGTTGCTCTGTCGCAGTGGACTTCCTGAGGTTGCTGGACTGTGTATCAGAGCTCTCTGGGGTGAAGGTGCCCACCTGCCTTGCCTGGCTAGGTGGAAGAGGGCTGGGAGCTGGGCTTGGGCACAGAGATGGGGGCTCCAGAGCTTTCTGTTACCCCTACAGGCTTCTACATGGTCTGGCTGCCCCTCGTCTTTGTCTCTTGCCTTGGTACCATGGGCACAACACACCAGCGGGAATGGCAGTGTGTAGGGCAGCTGCCTGGCTGAGGAGAGACCCTCCCAAGATGGGCACCGTCTGCCCAAAGAGATTCCTACCAGCAGTGGAGGCTTCCTCATGTGCCTACTCTGGGATACTTGTGTCAGTTGGAATATTCCTGAGGACTCTCCCATGGGCAAGGTGAGCCAAGGAACAGGACTAGGGAATGTTTAGGTGTTTGGGGTGCAGCCTGGGCCTGGCTGCTGGACGTGCAGTGCTAGCTATACCTTGTCGTATCCTCTCTCTCCCTCCCTGGCAGCTGGGAGTGACAACCCAGAGATGAGGTTCTTCAGCATCTTCATGTCTCTCCTTTGGGCCACAGCCTTCCTGGAGCACTAGAGGGGCAAAAGCACCTCCTTGGCCCTCTGCTGGGACTGCAGCGACTTGTGTGCTGGCATGGTGGCCAGCTCAGTCCTCTAGGCCCAGAACTACATTTCCCAGAGTTCTCAGAGGCCATAAAGCATTCTGGGAGGGCTCAGGCTTTGGAGACCACCATCCAGGAGTCCAATTCTGGCTTCTAGTAGCACTCCTTGGCTCCCTTTTCCATCCTCCCATAATGTCATGGTGAGATAAGGCTGGGTGGGCAAAACACCAGGAACGTGCAGGGTCTCAGCTGTGCCTTCAAGAGACCCTGCCCACAGTGGGAAAAAAGAAAGAAACGTGACTCCCTGACCCATCCAGACACCCACCTGACCACCCAGACATCTGATCACTGATCCTGGATCCATTCACTTCTCTCCACATCTGCTGCCACCACCCCACACAAGCACACTTGACCCAGCTGCTGTTCTCTTTGACCTGGACCCCAACAGCAGCCTCCCAACAGGTCTCCTGTTCTTGTCTTAGCTGCCAGAGGGTTTTTGGGGGGAGTGGGGCAGGGTCTCACTGTGTAGCTCAGGCTGCCTTTAATTTGCAGTGTAGTCCAGGCTGGCCTCGAACTCGTGGTGATCCTCATGCTTCAGCCTCCCGAGTGCTGGGATTGCAGGCGTGCACCACCACACCCCACCAGAGTCCTCTCTCAAAATCAGAAATCACATCTCATGTTATCCTGCTCAGAGTCCTGTGGGTTCTCATTTAGGATGCACTTGGGAAACTACCAGAGTGGCCTCTGGCTAGTTCTTCCACTGGTCTCATGGGCTCCTTGAATAGGGCAGAGTTGTGTCCACCCCAGGGCCTTGACACTGGTGGTCCTCTGCCAGAATCCTCTTCCCCCAGATTTTACATGTCACTTGGGCCTTGTCATAGCAGGATCGGGCAAGGGAACACATTAAATACAGGACACATATCTTATAAAGTTATTTTATGATAATTATCCAAAGAGTCAAATGCAAGGAGTGCAAGAGATTAACCACACACTAGAAGCCCAAAACATTCAACTGAGGGTCTGGATCCCAGCAGTTTCCCACACAAGTCTGGTTAAAGGCGTAGAGTCCAAGGCAGTGTCCTCCTCAAGTCCAGCCAGTGGTCTGGAGCCCTCGGCGATGTCTCCTGCTTGTCTGTATTGGGGATCTGCACCTGGAAGGCCCAAGGCCAGTGACAGAAGCCAGAAAATCCATGCTCATGACGTGAAGGATCTGTGGCACCAAGCTGAGGGATCCGTATTGGAGCCAGGAAGTGATGCTCACCATAAAGGTCAGAGCTCCCCTGATGAAAGCAGCAGCCATTCCCAGTGACAGTGAGGTCCCAACCTCCTCCTCCAATGAAAACAGCCTAGTTTGCATCAGGAAAACCATCCACAGCAGGCTTCTAGAAAATCACTAGGCCAAGGCCAAGATCTTCCTGCCCAGTTCTCTTTCTGTGGCTATTGGTGACAATCTTCAGGTGGATCCTCCACGCCCAGACCATGCTGATTCAGTTCAGCTGGGTGCTACAAGTTGACCATTAACCCACTACAGGCCTCAACTCCAATATCACCTTCATAAAGAGGTCTTCCTTGGGCTGAGGATTTAGCTCAGTAGCACCGTGCCTGCCTCATAAGTGCAGGGTCCTGACTTCAATCCCCGGTACCGCAAAGAAAAAAAAAGAGAGAGGTCTTCCTTGACCACCTAATCCCAAGAAGGTCCCTGTCAGTGTTTAATTTTATCACAGCCTTTGTGACTATTTTGTTTATTGCTTGGTTTTTGCTACTAGACTGTGAGGTCCCTGAGTATAGAGACCCCACATGTGAGATTGACTGCCTTATCCTACGCCCAGTATAATGACTAGCATACAGAAGGTGCTCGACAAATGATCGTTCAGTGCCTCTGTGTTACGGATCTGTCTGGCCCATCTGTTCAGTGAACCAGCATTTAATCCACTCAACAGTTAGGGCTATAGAAAAATGAGAACCGAAGTATTTCCACAGAGAGATTTAATCTAATGTTTGGTTAAATAAATATTGGGGAACTGAACCAGCGAAAGCGCCACTGAGGTGAGAGAGACACTGTCAGTGGTGCCCCCTGAGAATGTGGTACCCATCTCATGCAGCTCTACTGGCTTTGGACGAACTGCTGCTTCTCAAAATGCTTCTCCACCATCCCTTTACTCAGCACCTTTTTATGTTTCAGATGTCCACTAAAATTGTCATTTCCTGGGCTGGGGATTTGGCTCTGGTTCCACTGCCTGCCTCGCAACTACAAGGGCCCAAGTTTGAGCCCCGGCGCCAAAAAAAAAGTCATTTCCTCCAAGTGACCGTTCCCAGAGAAAAGTTCCTTTATAGCACTTGCAGTTATACCTCTGTGTTCATTTGTTTAATGTTTGTCTCTAACTACTCTATAAACTGCACGGGGACCCAGAACTTTTCCAGTTTGTTTACAGAATATCTAGTATCTACTGCAAAGCGGTTTAAAGTCAGTTCTTGGTGAAGCCACCCTGTCATCCACCTATCCGTCCGCTCTCCACCCATCCACCCACCCACCCATGTGCTCGCTTGCAGAGATTCACTGACTATTTGCTTGTTCAGGCAACTCACCCAGTGGTCCACCTACTGCCCACCCATCCATCAGTCTAGCTGCCTTCTCCACACATCTGTTTGTTGTTTATGTCTCTGCTTACCCACTCACTCACTTATCCACCTATCTACCCACTGAGTGTTTTGGTTTGGTTTGGTTTTGGTACCAGGGATCAAACTCGGGACCTTGTGCTTTTGAGGCAGGTGGCAGCACCACTGAACTAAATCCTGGGCCCAGTGCTGAATCTTAATCAGCACCTTGGGAAAAGGCCCTGAAACTCCAAAACTACACCAGATCTCATTCTCATTTCCACACTTCCAGAACTGCCCCCCCTCCGTCTCTCTAGACAGGAAAAGGCCAGACGCTTCCCCACTCTATGGTGGAGATATCAGCCCTGGCCACAGGATGCACGTTTCCATTACCCCTCCAGCAGGAGGGTCTATGGGTGGAGTTTGTTGCCCTGGCCTCACAGATGGCCTGGCACTCAGAGACACCCGAAGGAGCCCTGCTCCCACCCTACACCTGCCTTTCCTGACATGGCGAGCAGGTCTTGGGCCCTTGTCCTGGGAGGACTGGTCCTTAGTGAGCCCACCCTCCGGCTCTGAAGCCCTCCCTGATGGCCCACAGCTCTGCGGCCTGTCAGTTATTTTCCTGCATCCTATCATGATCTCCACTGGCCCCAGGTGAGTGCCAAGGCCATGGGAAGCAGGAGCACCTTCCTGACTCCAGCCCAGAGTGCACACCCAGAGGTCCTGCCTCCCAGAGGCAGGCTCCAGGGGGTGGCTGGTCATGCTGCCTAGGCTGCCAACACCGCCAACACCAGCAGCACTGTGCTCAGCCTGGTGCTGATCCTACAGCGATGTCTACCACTTTCAAAGGCAGGCCAGGATGCTCCCCACCCCCAACTCCTCACTCCACCCCAAGGCTGGGGCCTCGCACCCAACCAACCCGGTGGCCTAACAGCACCCTTTGGCCACAGGAGTGTTGCTGTTGGCCTTGAAGCTGGCTCCTGAGTTCTCTAAGCTGGAGTTTTCTCACCTGTGACTCACAAGCAGCGATGACAGGTAGTGTGAGCGTCTAATGCCTGCCTTCACCCTTTCATTGGGCCCTCACAGGCGGCCCCAGACTTGCCACCTCTACTTCCCCTGGCTGCAGTTTGGGTTCATCCCCATCTTTTTGTGGGGACCTCGCTGCTACACAGCTGAATACTGGGGACACAGCAGTGAACTGGAGCTCCCTCCCTTCTAGTTTAATAAGGGTGGGATTCCCAGGAGGTGGTGTTACTATTGTGGTTATCATTGGTGGGATGAAAAGAGGATCAGCAGAGCTCACTGCCTGGCTCCATCATTCCGCCTTTCTTGCCAGTCATAGGCTGAGCAGTAAGTGTCAGCCATGGCCCATGGGGCTTGGGATGGGCAAGACCTCCCATCAGCCCTGTCCGCAGGGTTAGCGCTCAGCGAGGAAGCCAGAGGACCAGGAGCACAGTGGGGAGGTTATCAGCCAGGCTGCAGAGAGGGAGGGTACATTGCCAGCAGAGCTACAGGTTGGTGGGGTACCCTGGCCGGTACGACACACTGCTTGGCGTGTGGCAGGAGCACATGAGTACCCTAGGTACTGGCTCTTGGAGGAGGAGGAGTCACCTCATCTTTGCAGGGGCCCGCTCCGCCTCTGGGGTGTGCAAGGTGGTTGGGAGGAGCAGGTGGCCAGCTGTGTGCACTGGCAGGGAGGTGGGGTCACCCCGTGCAGAACCCAAGCCTGAATAAGTTGCCTTGTGTCTGCCCACAACAGAGCCCCTGGATCCCACCTTCCTGCACTTGCTCAGCAGCCCTTAGTCACCAGGGCAGGCAAATAGCTGGTCAGAACCACGGAGGAATTCATCTTGCTGTGAATGTGGGGGACGGGGTGGGGGACAGAGCTGGGCCTCGGTGGGGTGCAGGGAGGGCAAAGCTAAAGCAGCCTTGACAGGGAGTCAGCAGTCAGGGGCCCAGGCCCTAACCTGGCCTCTTG